CCCCTCCCCCGCAAGGGGCGCGCGCGGGAGTGCCTCCACCTGAGAGACCGGCGTCCCTTCCCAGCCGGGCGCCGCCCCGGTGCGCGTCAGGTAGGGGCCGCATGGCGCACCTCTCTGGCGTTTAAAACAACTCCTCCCGCTTAGGGATACGCAGCGGGCGTTGCCCTGCTCCTGCACCTTTAGTATTTGAGTTACATGCTGCTTTCCCGTACTTAAATGACGAGTCCCCACGAAGTAATAGGTGCAAATTAATGAACACACAAGTAATGATGCAGTAGCCGATCAACTTGTTCCTGGCCTTTGTGCTTACCCTCCTCTCATCCCTGGTGCGTTAGGAACCACATTAAAGCTGTGCAGCTAAAGCATGCCATTTTAAGCCTAACTTCCCCCAAAATTTACTTACTTGGAAAGACCGATGCAACTATTGTGACAGGAGAACATGACCTTATATGCAACAGAAACCAAATGCCAAAGATCTATTTCTGCCTAAAATCCCCAATGTGGTAGCATCACTTTTAAACTGGTATCTACTCTTAATCTAAAAAGCTTCCGGTTATTTCAAAGCCCGCAGGCCTTCAGTCAGAGTTGTTCAATTTGTTCGGGTTGTTGCATTTGCTCCTCGGGTTGGTGTTTGGAACGGAACAGAATAGAATTAGCAGCCTGGTCACGAACGTCTGTCCAACTTTTGTTTACTTATATCCCCTTCCAGTTTCAGCCCTGGATATTGGTTTGGCTACCCTGTGTCTCCACAGGACAAGAAATATATCTCTGTTTTCTCTCTTCTGAGAGATTTACACATTGTAGAGTATATAAAATAGTATGAAATGCCAAAAGTTGATTTAATAGATCTTGGATATTTGACATACTGCCTTTGATTTTAACTAGACAAAGAGCTTTTCTACAACCTGTCTAAAGAAGATGAGTCGTTTGATTGCGACTTGAAAACTGAAGGTACAAGAAAGCCAAACTACCCATCACAATCCGAAGACCTAAAGCAGAAAAATCATCCCCTGCCTGCCTACGTCTAATTCGGAATACACCCATCTCCCAGCCTTCCTGTAAGCTAAACACTTCATGTGCTGCACTCTGCTGTTGTAAGCTCACTTGTCTCTGTATCTTTTCCAAAGTTTTTTTGAAATCTTTTTTTTAAGTGCTAACACTGAAAATGAATGCTTATTTTATCAGCAGTCTGAACATCATGACACTGGTAACTGTCACAATGTGCATAGAAAAAGTGCTGAGTACCAGACATGGCAAGGAACTACTGGGATGCTCTAGTGTCTAGGCACAAGGACACAAACGACATATGATAGCCAGGCAAGGATGATTACGGTAGTAATCCTATGTTCAGCTATTATACTTACCCAATACCCTTTTTACTCCACACACGCACACACCAATTTTGAACTGTACTTGAAATAACCAACTTGTTGGGCTTCTTTGGGCGAAATCAGTATAGCTGAAGAATTTGCTATCAGCAGCAGTGGACTCTTAGCACCTGCTTTCTGGGAGGAAGGGGGGAAAGATGGGTAAAGAGCGAGCGTGGTTGCAGAAGTCAGGGCTAATAATAATAGAAACAAAAGTTTGAGCATTATAAATAACATTTAAAATCTAAAAAACATTCCTAGGAAGGTACTCAGAGTTTATGATATACATAAATATTAAAATTAACATAAAATGTTAAAAAAAAAAACTGATTCCCAGATAAACTAGAACAGAGAAACAGCTTCAGTACACTACTGAAAGAAAAGGCTGAAAAAGGTCAGAAACCAATTCTGCTAGAATACTCCTTGCACATGATAAAAAAAATTTACACGTACGTAGTGACAGATGTAGAGAGGGTTGCTACGTTCGCACACTGACAGAGAATAAACTCTTGGAAGCACCTCTCTGTTCTCAGCGGCAGAAGCTACGATAGCGAGCGCTTTTTATCTACGGCACGCCCCATCTCTAGCAGGAGGCCCAGCTGTCAGCAAGTGCAGCCCAGCTCTGCAAACGCTCCACACTGCAGACAAGAACTTACATTACACCAGTTCACAATATTCCCAAGATCGTTATTCCAGTTATAATTATCCTCTGTCGATCAGCACCACACAAATCAAGTTTGAAGAATGCTTTTAAACTTCTACGACTGCAGTTAAATCCAGAGGGAAGGCTGAGCGGTCTCCCTGAAACCTAAAGTGCAGGCACTACCATGTGAAAGATCCGTACCCAGGCTGGAGGCGTACAGAACATGTTCCCTCTTCTTCCTCACCTTCCTCTCCCTGCCTCCCCTTCCCCCATGATTCAACTTGCTTCTACACAGAAAAACTGAATAGTGGGATTGATGGTTTGAAACTGTTGCACTGTTCTGATGACTTATCTTTACTGATCCTGTGCTGTGAACTTCTCTTTGATCATTACTAATTAAAGGATTACATAATTATGCTGGAATGAATAAGGCGTTCCCATCCTCACAGCATTGTTGCAATTAAACTATTTTGAGGGAGGCAGAGAAAGGTAGGAAGGAAGAAAGGTCAGGAAGAAACTGTTTTATGTTTAAAAAAAATGCTGTGCTTTTAAAAAAATTATCATGAATGCACCACATACTCAACTTTTATATGAAATACTATGTAACAATATAAATGATGTAGCAGTATGTAATATCAACCCACAGAGCAGCTAGGGGCCACAATACAGTCACAGGGATCAGTTTGGGAACCACTGATGCATGGTTACAGGACCTTAGGCATAAAAACCTTCTGAAAAATGCCAGAGGAGAAGATCAGAGCCAAGAAGTTACTGGGGGGAGTAGAGTGGAAGACTTCCTTTTGTATAACATACATTATATTATATACAAAATGGGGGAAGGAAGCATGACGGATGCCTCATTAAGACCTAGATTTCAGTTGCTGACTAGTCCACGGTGTTCTTCAAGACTTGACTGGACAAAGCCCTGAGCAACTTGGCCTGAATTCAGTGCTGACCCTATTTTAAGTAGGAAGCTGGACGAGAGACCTCCTGAAGTCCCTTCCCACATGAAGGATTTCTAAGATCCATCAAGGGGACAAAGGACACTAGAGAAAATCCAAGCTAAGCAATTTGATGAGTAATCAAACAAGTAATAAAAGCCACACTTACTTAAATTTTTCTTTCAATAACTGCAGTAAAAGAACAAACACAGTGTGCGGCTGAATGTGACACACAAGGTGAAGATATACTTGAAAAATACTTGAAATTTATTTTAAACTATTTTCTTTTTTCTTTTTACAAAGTGTTCCAGACTGTGCAATACAGCAACATTTTTCTAAGGTAAGGTTTCTTTAATTATGTAACCATTTCCTCTTCTTCAGTTTTGAGGTAGGGATACACACATTTCCAATCAACATTTTTAAAAAACACTTAAGCCCTCCCCACTATAATCCAAATATAAAAGCAATGCACAAGAACACAATGTCCGTTTTCCCACTATTAATTGCTCAGATAAGTTGGAAATCATGTCACAGCCTATAACAGCTGGCATTTAAAAGTTGGCCCATTAATTCCACGAAGAAACCCTGAAAAGATCAGAGCTGGTATCATGGAGCGGCATTGTCTAAGGCAACGCTTCCAGGAGAATCCTCTGCCCTAGAAGCAGGGCTGTCAGGCAGAGGAATAGAGGCATCTACCTCCAAGCTGTGCTGCTTCTCCAGATCACAATTCATGCCAGAATTTCCTCCACCACCCACCTCTCCCTCTGACTCTTCAGTCAATTTGTCTTGGGCCTGAGCTGACTCCTCAGAATCTTCTTTTTCACGCAGAAAGCTGCAAATCGTATTAGGCCTGCTGTAGGAAAAATCTCTGTCCTTGATCTGTAACCACTCCACGCCACCTGATGCAAAAGAAGGAAAATTGGTATTAGTGACAAAAGGAGTTAAGAGTTAACAGCAATTTTTTCTTAGTTTAAGTTCACTGTTATTAAGGCTGAGCCTGACCAACATTTAAGTAAAAGAACCACTTAGGATAGAAAGATGTCTTTCAAGAATTTGGACCAACACTAATTTTTGTGGGGAGTCTCACCATGGGGCTTAAACCATTAATTTTCGTTGAAAAATAAGGCTATGAATAACAGAAAGGCATTTGATAAAGAAAGACCAGCTTGAAATTAAGAGAAACTTAGCTGTTGATAAATTAACAGCAACATGCATACGCTAAATCAACTTAACCAAGACACATAGCTACAGGTTTTTATCCAGACACTGGAGGCATTGTGTGTGGTTCAGTGACGTCACCAGCTTGGTCTCTGAAGAGCAGCCACAATGGAGATAAAATCATTAGGAAAGTAAATGAAAAGCAGGAATGTCAAGATACAAAACTATGCTACGTCCATGTCAGGAGTACTGTGTTCTGCTCAACCCATACTGTAAAACCAGAAAAGAGAAACAAGAATTGGTGAAAGAAAAGTTAGCTCTACATGGGAAGAGACTTTAAAACAAACAAACAAACAACAACAAAAAAAACCACAAAAAAAAGGCAACAAAAAGTAACAGAGACTAGAATTCTTCTTGGAGGAGAGCTCAGAAGGGTCAGATGCTTATAAGGCTGTACTGGGAAAACAAGTAGGGATTGACTTATCTCCTAATTCTGATAACAAATGAAGTAACTCGCACTCATTGGAAGCACCAGCTCATACATTTGTAACAACCACAAAAGCAAACAAACAATCAAGAAAACCCACAGTAAAGTTGTACTTTTTCCATACAACAGAAATGTGATTTGAAAACTACCTGCCATAAAAAGTGGTAGAAGTCAAAAGCATAGACAGGTTCAAAAAGCAAGTGAAGATGACAGAGCCTTTATGGACTAAAGGCATAGTAGTCCAGATGAAAACTCTTGTCAGGATATTCATGAACTGCTGAACACCGGAAGGATAGCCAAAAGAAAGGATTACTCATGTATCTGTCCCCCTCCTGCTACTTTCCACGTACCCACTTACTGCTGTCCATAGTCAGAAATACAACACAGGACTAACAACACTTTTGGTCCAATCCAGTATGGCAGTTCCTGTTGCGTTTAGGTGTCAGACACCACCCCTAGACTCTTAAAATTACTTAAATATAATTCAAAATTCTGAGAAAATATTTTACAAATGCAATAGAGAGAATAAAACGTTTGTTCACCTAAATCTTAGAACACCTGGTAATATGATAGGGAATGACATCAGAGATAGCGTAAGAATTTGTGTCATCTCCTGAACTCAAGTATATCAAGCTCTTACAACACATACTGAACAGACTCCAGATAGAACTGGGATTCCTCTCCCCCTTAGATTCCTAGGCAGTACAAATTGCCGATTCACAACATGTTGTAGTTACTTTATATGCACAACATTAACTTCTGTCAGGGTACAGAAACAAAGTGTTTTTCAGCAGGTATCATCATTATTGCTCGTCCAGAACAAAATAGGCCTTTGTATTAAGCAACATATTCTCTAGTCTACTGTACTTCAAAAATAATAGCTTCTGTTTAGTATTACCTTCTTAATTATATGGAGAGAAGAAATTCTACATGGTGTTGATAAGAATGCTGATGTTTGGTTAGATTCTAGATGACATTTCATGTTATAGCTCCTATGACCAATGTCCAGCTGACTGCCCATATTTAATGTAAAATGGCTACATATTCTTAAAATATGAAGCAGTAACACTGACTTGAGTGAAAAAAAGCAACTAAAAGCAATAGGATACTGCTAATGAATACTACTATATATAGTAGGATACTCAATATCTGACTAGGTAAAAGTACTGACTTCCATATGAAAAAACACCACTGAAATACAGCAAACATACAAGCACTGAGTTCTGCCTACAGAATGAAAATCAGTATGAATGGTGTCCTAGGTATGCCTTTGCAAGTAAGTTAAATTCATTTACAGTTAACTGTAAATCCAGTAAGAATAATTCAGTTGTAGTATATACAACATGGAGCTTCTTTATAAGGATATTACAGATTTTCAACAATTACAGTGACTCAAAAAGTCATTTGAAAGATTGATGGAAGTAAAAAAAAAAAAAATTAAAAAAAAAATCAGAAGTAATTCCCCAATTTGTTTTAATCAAAGATTGTTTTCTTATTTGTCATTAACACTACAGTGGGAAAACTTGTTTATTTTTAGAAATCACGTGAAGAACTACTAAACAGTACCTCTGATTTCAGGACTAGTGCCGAAACTTTTAGACAACAGAAAAACATACCAGGGAACATCAGCATATGTTTGCCCTGCTCTTACACTCTTCTGTAGGAATCTCCTACCAGCCACTTCTGGAGGCAGCACTGGTCAGAAGGAATCTTTTTTTTGTGTGTGTGTTTTGTTTTGTATTTAAATATACACATTTGATGCCTAAAGAAGAAAGTTCCTCTAACTTCCTGCATGCTCGTGAATCAAACACTTAACCAAGGCTGACACTCCTAAGCATAATCCATCCATGTCCCTATGCATAAGAACAGAGGCACTAACCAACATTCTCTTCTCCTTCCTTCTTTTCTGTCAAAAGTGTCCGTGTCATGTTCAACTTCTTCATTGTGTGGCACTTGTATTTCAGCTGTACTTTTTGGTTGCCTTCTGCATCTACTATGGAGAGAGGAGAAAAAACAATACCCAAACCCCCATCATTATAGTGAATTCCACTATCAACTGGAACAACGTAAATATTTTTAACCTCCCAGGCTACCACAACGAACAGGACATCAAATCCCAATTACCATGCTCTGTGTTTTCTTCAAAAACCACACAGGTTCCCAAGGTATCTATGGAAAACAAAGCGAGAAAGTCTTAGAGACTAATTTATATCAGCTGTAAATACTGCACTCACTGGCACAGCTCTGGGAATGTTCTCACTTCCAGCCCCTCGCAAAGGCCCAGCGCTGGTAACCACACTGCCAGCTCAGGAACAGACAGGAATATCATGGTCATTGAAAGTCACTACAAGGAAGGATTCCAGATCATTTTCTTCCAGACCAATGTTGTCACCGTAAGGCAAATGGGAGAACTACAGATTGCACAACACGTCAGTCCTGCTTATACAGGAGTCAACAAGCACTTACTTTGAAGCATTTTATGTCCCCATTTTTCCCTACAGAAATACCAGCTGGTCCACCCCAGAGTTAGCTTCCAGGCATACTTTCCAGTAAGTAACATGGATGCATGACTAATTTAGCAGTGAACTCAGACTGGTGCTGCTCTGTATGGTGTTATACAAACACCACCCAGAACTTCAGCACCTCACAGAACCACGTTCTCCCTTCGCAGTGCAATTAACTGACGTTAAGAAAATTCTTCGGGTCACATGAAAAAGGAGAGACTGTATCCACATCATTTTTCCTACCTTCATATTCTCCTGCAAATACGTATCTGTCCACTTGTAAAATGGGCCTCTCTGACTCTATTCCCTACAAAAAGAGGGACAAAATTGCACAGATGTCAGGTCTCTATTAGCCCAGGCAAATTTCTTGCTATAAGACCAGAGAAGACAGATATAGCAGAATCCAAATTACATCAATTCCTTGAAAAGATAAATAGTTTAAAAAAAAAAACCAAACCCAACATAAGGTAATAGCAGTAAAATAAGTATTCCATAACATGGTAAACGTGAAATAAAAAGTTTCTTTTGGTATTAGAGAAAAGCAGTGGATTCCAGACTGTAAAGCTTTCTCAAACTGTCAGCTTCATATGAAGAAAAGTACATATTTAAAACAGGATTTATGGAACTGGTTAAGAGAGTTCTGCAGAGGATATGATTTTACAGAAGCTAGCAGACTCCTGAAAGAATGGCAAGACATGCAATTAAATTAATATTTATTAGTTTTCAAAAAAATGTAATAAAAGTAATTTTAGTTATTACAATTGACGCTGAGGTCTTCTGCAACGTTAAACATCAGGGGCGGGGGGAGAAGGATTTTTCTTTCTGTTTTTGTAGGAGGCTTAGTTAAGCAGTGATAACAACTATTACAAAGCGTTTAGCCAATCTTACTGTAGAAGCAGTGTACTGTTAAAAAAAATAAAATGTAATGACAATTTTTCAGTCTATCATCATACATGTTACTTTAAGTGTATTGAATACAGAGAATATACCAGATAATATTGTTCTAGCAATCACAACAAAACCACCAATGCTGTACTGGTATAGAAAATGCTTTAGTATGTTAAAAAGGATCAAAGACATTTAGATCAAACTGCAGCCAATGGTCTATTTAGGTTACAGTAAATAAATTTAAAGTGCTGTTATTTCTTCTAGGAAATTAATTTAACCTCCATTTTAAATTAACAAATAAAAATATACTTATTTGCATGAAAAAAGATGTTATTTTCTAAGTTCCAATTAATACAAGTTCTGTAAAGTGGAGTAACTTTCAAAAGTCTTTGGAAAATACACAAGGTGAAGTAGTCTGGCATAAAGCATTACACCACCACTGGAAGTGCAATTGCAGGGTCACAGAAGCTTCTGTGATTACTGCATGTCTACATTGTGAAGGAGTTGGAAACTGTTGTTATTTAATTTTATTTTTTTAAACAAGGAGTGGGAGAGTAAGGCAGCAGTTCTATCAGCTCATTCCCTTCCTCTACAGCAGAGCTTTTCCAAATACACAGGCCAGGATCCCATTATTCTTAACATAAGATGTACCTCTAAACTGTATTTTGATAAAAATTAACGCCTGAACAGAATATACTAATTAAGGCAAAATGTCTTTTAATAGTACATTGTGGACATCAATGTTATTCAGGACATGAAGATAAGCACATGCTAAAAGTTTTGAAGATGAGGCACTATGTGGTAAATTGTTTAAAATACAGAATATCACACAGGTTAATAGGAATTTGTGCAATTTTCCTCTTGTACTTTTAAAAAACATAACTATCTAAGATCAGCGAGATTTAAGCTCTGGGATTCTCTTTCTGCTGCATAGGTTGAGAACATCAATAGCATTAAGCTAACATATAGCACATTTTTGGTTTTTTTTACTACAGGAAATTAATTTAAAAAAAACCACATCAGTACGAGGCAACAGCATTAAGGTTTTTAATATTCAAAACTTTATTTCTTTGGCATTCCTTTTTGGACTATGCAGAAATGGAGACTGTCTTCCCCTTACGTGACCAGCATCACAGAAAACTTGCTAAACAGAATAACACAAAGCAGAATCTTTTATTGGATTTTTAACAACAGTTGTCCGTTACGAAAAATCTCAAGGAATGCTTACTCTGTGGAGTGAGCGCAGGCAGATTTGGATACGAGTAGGATACAGTATAGATACTTAAAAATTTTTCTAGAAACACTACAAGAGAATCTCAAAGCACAAAATTTAAAAGAATCCCGTTAACACTATTGAAGAATATGTAACTATTCAGTCACCAGTAATGAATCATCTGTGTAATACATTTCAATCGACTTAGCTCAGATCCAGGAAGCAAATCTGCTTATAAAAGCATATCCATCCAGTGATGGATAATTTATGAATTTTGATTGTATTTCTACATTTAATATTTTCAGAATTGACTTTACCACCTCACATATATTCTGAACGGTGGCATACTCCGAGATGTTCTCTTCCATCTCTTCAGTCTGTAATAAAGGTCTAGTTTCAGAAAGTATTTGCAAATCAATAGTACTTGTACTATCTATACAGCTCTCACAGTCCACGTAGGTTTTGAAGGGCAAATAAAATTTTTCACATACAGAGAAAGTGATTAAACAACTCAAAAGGACTGGTAAGCCAGGCTCTTACAATAACCTCACAGTGAAGCAAACAACATCCAAAACTGTTTACCAAATGCTTAATACCCAGTTATCCTTTACATTTACAACACTTGAACTTGCCAGGCAGTATCTGCAAAAAACCCCATTGTAAATACAGTGCAATTCAGAAAGACTTTGGCTTTATCTATCAGCTGTATTCAAGTTATTTGAAGAAGCGTGCTTAACTATTTTTTTTTTAATGTGTAAAATACATCATTTAAAAAACCCCCAAAACTTAGAGCTTGAATTCAGAGGGGATAATGGTCCTAGCTCATAAATACTTCTGAAAATATTTCCTTATATTTACATAGTATCATAAGCCATTTCTGAAATAGAGAGAGCCCACAACATGCAGCCAAATACGGCCAAGACAGTGCACATAATTCTCTATCAAAGATTTGATCTAAATGTTATTGACTTGAAGGAATTTAGAAACAGCCTCAGTCCCTTGTTCACATGCATACTGACTTACCCCTTTCCTATTGTGCTGTAATCACTCACCAAAATCTTGCATTTGTTTTCACATTTTTCTAAGAAGTCTGAATCAATAATTCCTGATAGTTCCACCATGACCAGTTGCTCCTACAAGATAGGTTTATAATGTAAATCTATAATTGATATAGCTGAACTCAGGAGAAAAAAAAAAAAGCCCCCCAAAAAACAACCCAAAACAAAAAGAACAGCATACAAAGACCCAGACCTTCAGAATAAACAGACCACAAATCTGACTTATTCTGCATTTTGTCTAGAGAAAATGGCGGACAGATACTGCAATACCCAGGGAAATGCAGTGACCCACTACTCCATCAGACACCTGTTTCACACCTGAATTCCCTGGCCTTTTCTTCCTAGCTAGGGAGTTCTTTTTTCACCCTTAAAAAATGAGAATCGATATGGGTAAATGATTTATGAATTATAGCAAATGACCAGTTACATATTCCAAAATACATTTTTCAAAGTTTTAATACCTACCTAAATAAGACACCATAGCGAGAAGTTAAGCAATGTGTTGCTTGAAATAGTTACTTTTAACTCTTTATAACATATTGCTTTGAAATCCCTGTTTGCAATTCCTTACAATTTTCAGTGAGGAAAATACAAAAACAAAACAATAAAATAGCCACCTTGAAAAAATCTTTCTCAAGGAAGAGTTTTCAAGAATCACCATCTACTAAGCACACACAAATACACATAATAATAGCGGAGTAATAGTTCGTATTTTCGGATGTTATGGGGGTAGGAAGCAATTGAAACCGGACGAGTGCTTTCTGACAACGCCGTTTTCCAGAAAACCTGAAGTAAAACAGCTAAAACGATACAGCTTTCGGTACACGACCGCTGCGGGGGCAGAGAAACCCGACAGGCCCAGGGAAACGCGCTTGCTCTGTGCCCGACCCCACCGCCAGCGCGGGGGCGGCCATGG